TTTGGAAAGGGGTAGAGAGAATGAAATGAAGAAGTGATCGGATGTGTGGAGCGGGTTTACAGAGAGGTTAGAAGTAGCGCAGTTCCTTGAGAATATGAGATCAAGGACATTGCCAGCTTTATGAGTCGGTGGGGACGGAGACAGTGAGAAAGCAAAGGCGGTTAACAGGGATGTTAGTTCGTCTATCTTCCCCGTCTGGAGGTTGAAGTCTCCGAGAAGTACAGCGGGAGGGCCAGTTTCAGGGATGTGTGAGAGGAGATTATCTAATTCCTCCAAGAAGTCCCCCAAGGCGCCTGGTGGACAGTAGAGAACAACAATGGTTAACTGTATAGGATGGGTTACTGTGACGGCATGGAATTCAAAGGTGGAAGGAGTGAAGTTAGGTAGCTTGAAGAGGGAAAAGCTCCATTTGGGAGAGAGCAGGAGACCAGTGCCACCTCCTCTGCCAGTTGGTCTGGGTGTATGGGAGAAGGAATATGCAGTGGAGAGAGCTGCTGGGGTGGATGTGTTGGATGGAGTAATCCAGGTCTCAGTGAGAGCAAGGAAATCCAGAGATTGCAGGGAGGCGTAGCCAGAGATGAAGTCAGCCTTAGGAACAGCTGTCTGGCAATTCCACAGGCCACCTGAAACTAGATGTTGGATCTCAGTGGAGCATGTGGGATAGACGAGAGCAGGCCGGTTATATTGATTACGAGATACACGGGGCCAGTGATAATTGCGAGAACACACATGAACAGGAATGGAGAAAATACACATGATTATAGCATGAGGGGTTAGAAAACTAAAGAAAAGTGAAATAAGACACCAGCTCAATCAGAGTAGGATTTGCCTCCTCTTTGCCTCCCTCGTGACTCCCGTAGGACTCCAATGTCTTTGTCAGTCTTACTCCCGTAGGACTCCAATGTCTTTGTCAGTCTTCGGCTGTCTGACGCTTAAGCTGACGCTCCAGGAAAGAGCTACCTAAAATGGACGCCTGATTGCTGAGTTCTCACAGCTGTAGGGGCACGCCCCTCTAATTAGTTAACTATCTACAGCTGATGGGCGACAATAGACTGGCCCTGCCTATATTATAATGCAGGATTGAGAGCTGAGACCTGTGAAGCAGGTTTCGCCTGAGCAGATCTGAGATTTAAAATCTCTCAAAAGCGATTTAGCCGTTTTAGCTACAATAACTACAGAACAATTATACAGAGTAGAATAAATGAAACAGAGAAGTCTAATTAAACAAGAATATAACTTACAGTGGTTGCTGCGTCAATAGGAAATGTCGTCACCCGGTCAGATGTACACTGAGTTCATCAGATTTTAAATGCGGTATTTAAATGCTTTTTTAGGTGAAAGATGACTGAGTCACGCGGTTGTACTTCACGCAATCAATAGACTGGCCCTGCCTATATTATAATGCAGGATTGAGAGCTGAGACCTGTGAAGCAGGTTTCGCCTGAGCAGATCTGAGATTTAAAATCTCTCAAAAGCGATTTAGCCGTTTTAGCTACGATAACTACAGAACAATTATACAGAGTAGAATAAATGAAACAGAGAAGTCTAATTAAACAAGAATATAACTTACAGTGGTTGCTGCGTCAATAGGAAATGTCGTCACCCGGTCAGATGTACACTGAGTTCATCAGATTTTAAATGCGGTATTTAAATGCTTTTTTAGGTGAAAGATGACTGAGTCACGCGGTTGTACTTCACGCAATCAATAGACTGGCCCTGCCCATAGGCGGCGCGTGAGGCTCAGGTTTGGGAAGGCTAAATTACTTTTTTTTTCATCTTACGCTGCCCGCCTCCGGCGTCTATAGAAAAGAGATCAACTCAATGAAAGCACCGCTTGCTGACCGATCAGAGCTCAGTGTGCGGAGTTTAAATCTATCAAGTCATATTACAGGAAAAAGGAAATGCAGTTTAAACTGCCGTATGCAGAGAAGACGCCGACGTGTCGCACTTATCATTCATATCACATCATCAATCACATCATCGATCTCACATCGATATCACAATATTTCCTTATCTGAGTCAGCTTCTCGAGCCGTATCTGGCCGTGCAAGACTTAGTTACATTGTCACATATACTGTATGCAGACGTATTATTTTAAGCAACACATTAAGTTGACGAAACACTCAACTCAAATGTAATAAAGTCAGATCCCCTCGTGTTTTAGATGGGGCAGTATCATAAAACTGTTGTACGCTTTCAAACACTCGCTAGTTTATTTTTTAACGAGTTGTTCTGTATTCTCCTTGCAGGTGCAACTATGTGGCTTGTATCCTGGATTATATGTTTAAGTCATCATGGATGTTTAAAGTTCATATTTGTCTAATATTAGTTTACTTTTCATTAATGAAGTATGATGTTGCGCTGTCAGTACACTTGTTCCTGTTTGTGATTGGTCAAATGTAGCTAACCCCGCCCCTTTCACGTGAACGCGTTCTCAGCTGGAGAGAGAAACCCTGGCTTGATTTACCGAGTTGATAACCAGCGCCGTAGGACCGTTTAGCGAGATCGCGTTTGTTAGGGTTAGTTAAGATAACTCAAGCATATCCAGGGTCTGTTGAACTGGCTTCGTACAGGGCACAGGTGGCTGCATAGCAGCGCTAATGTCAAAGACATTATATTTGTATTTTACCAGGATGCAGTTACACAAATATTTGGGAAGGCTTAGCCTTCCCTAGCCTACAGCACCCGCCGCCCCTGGCCCTGCCTATATTATAATGCAGGATTGAGAGCTGAGACCTGTGAAGCAGGTTTCGCCTGAGCAGATCTGAGATTTAAAATCTCTCAAAAGCGATTTAGCCGTTTTAGCTACAATAACTACAGAACAATTATACAGAGTAGAATAAATGAAACCGAGAAGTCTAATTAAACAAGAATATAACTTACAGTGGTTGCTGCGTCAATAGGAAATGTCGTCACCCGGTCAGATGTACACTGAGTTCATCAGATTTTAAATGCGGTATTTAAATGCTTTTTTAGGTGAAAGATGACTGAGTCACGCGGTTGTACTTCACGCAATCAATAGACTGGCCCTGCCTATATTATAATGCAGGATTGAGAGCTGAGACCTGTGAAGCAGGTTTCGCCTGAGCAGATCTGAGATTTAAAATCTCTCAAAAGCGATTTAGCCGTTTTAGCTACAATAACTACAGAACAATTATACAGAGTATATTTTATGTTACATGTTACACATGTAATATAAAAACAACAGAACAACAATAAGGACGACATACAACATAATGTAATTTGATTTGTAAGAAAAATGTCAATCTGAAAAGTAATGAGTAACTGTAGCTGACAGATTAATAAAGTACATCAACAGAAATCTAGTGTAGTATAGAAGTATTAGTAAACAAGACACAAGAAACAGGTAGTCTAAAATGGAAATACAAGGTTCAGTGACTGACAAGAAATAATAATTTGACTTAACAATGTAAAAACCCACACAATTGTATTGTTTTTTATGTAAAAAATAAAAGAAAGAACAACATTTTGTCATGCAAGATGGAGCTAAAAGTGCTTTGTGATTTAAAACTGAACAATACTTTTTTTATTTGGCACTTGTTTTTAGTAAGTAACTTATTTTCTTTGAATAAATGCCTAAATGAGTGTGTTTCCACTCACACAAATATTGTTTCACACACTTTCAGTCACGGGTGTGGAGGTCAGAGCACAAATCCACTTCCTTTCAACATATTTCAGTTGTTGTGGCAGTATACAGTATCCTTTCCTAATAATTCAATATTGCATTAATCTTGAACTTGGCACTTTCTGGTTGCTAAAGCAGTAAGTATGATCATTTTCATAGCTTAATGAACAGAACACATTGAGATTCACACTGAGACTAAGTTAACCCTCAGCCGTGAGTGATTTTATAACCAAATCATTTGTCATTGTGTTTCCTGACATGAAGGCCTGAGACACTAAAACCAGCCACATGGCAAATATCCCACTGTCCCCCATACGTATGTCTCATAAACCTGAGAGATCGAGGAGTACGTGAACACACTTCTGTGAGTGTACACTGTGTTCTCTATGCTGCTTCGCTCTCCTCCCCCTCCCTGTTCGGACGTCACATTTCACCTCTGATTTCCAGCAGTCACATTTCTTTCATCCTGCATTATTCACATTTAATATGATTGTATTACCATAAATGCCACATTTTCTGCATGACTGCAGTTTGTTCACAGTAAATTCATGACAATCTTTTAAATCCATTGATTCAATCTGGCCGTGTGATACTGTTGGTGGATCATGACGCATGTGGTGGTGTAAACCTTCAATTTCATTAAAGGTTGTTTATTTGTGATGTAACTGAGAGAGTTTATATTGTTTAATAGTTTCTGCAAATTTTGTTCTGCTCTTATTGTCCACCCAAAAACATACAAACATGTGACTGCCATCTGCTGGCTGTGACAAGTGTTGCTACTTTTTAGATCAAAAGACACACATGCACACACACACGCACACATACACGCACACACACACGCACAAAAAACAGTAGTGTTTCCCACAGAGAAAGGGAAACACTACTGTTTTTTTATTTTAAATGTTGAGCTTTCAATTATTTCTTTGTGTTTGAAAACAATATTAATATTGTCATCACAAGTTGCAAAAATATGTCTTACTATTACAACTTCATAGTAATGGCACGTGAAATAGAAATAAAGAGTATATTGTGTAGAAAATGTTTGAATGTAAATATACCTTGCTTCAATGTCTGTCTTCTATACCAACATATCAACTTACAAGACAGTACATTGTCTTGTAAGAACTTTTTTTTTTTACTTGAAATACGCAGAATTATAATGGCTTGTTGATGTTTACAGTATCAAGTGATCTTTTTTTGATATTTCTAATTTGTCTTTGGTTTATGTTCTGTTTCTCCTGTGAATATCATAGTTGATTGATTCCCATCTACTTCTTCCATTTATTTTGTTGTCATTGTCAATTGTACAAGTGAGGGAGAGGAGGATGACGTACAGTAATAGGAGGAACTCAACTCTCTTCTAACTAACTTTTTTATTGTCACATGCATTTACAAAGGACAGTGAAGACATTACTCGGAAATAGCTCAAACCATGCATTCTAGGAAATTACTGCATTACACGCAAGACAAGAAGGTGGTAATAATGGGTTGTCTGTTCTTCATAATCATTTTGAAAGCGTATTCATAACCATACAAACATAATCTACAAACAAATACAAGGCATTAGCGCTCAAAGGTATATACGTTATATATTTTTCTTTAATCTAAAAAAAAAGGTTCTGCTATTTCCCTCCTGTTAATTCTCACTGCACACTTAGGCCTAGGTTTCCAAAATGTACACAGTTATAATGACAAGAATGCTCATAAGGATTCACGTTTTTAAGGAAAATTGTGCCATCTTTGCATTTCTGACCCCCAATTCGAGAATGGTTCTACATTAATTCATCCCCTGACTTGTAGCAGTAGACCCCGTGTTTGTGCTGTGGAGGAGGGAAGCCGAAACTGTGCACCCCTGGCTCTGAGGGGCCACAGTTTCTCCGGGGCCTGGTGATGGGATACCGAACGCTTCCATCAGCCAGCCAGCCTGCGTCACAGCGGTCCAGCACTGAGAGCTTCCAGGCGGCGTACAGCTGTCCCACTTTGGCGACTTGTGCTCCGTCCTCCTGGCACGCCTGCTGGGCCTCCGTCAGGTTCATCGTGTGAGAGGGTTGCAGATAGTAGACTTTACCTTTGAAGAAAACATGTATTGTTATTATTAAGAGAACTCTCTGCAGACTGGATATGATAGTTCAAAGTGTTTGTGTTTCAGACCTCCAACATTAGACAGCAGACGTCCAAGAGTGAGACTGTTGACTTAAAATAAAGGTAATTCTGCTCATTTACTTCAAACTGTCCTGCACATAAAGATAATATTCAGATGAGACACTCGTAATCATTTTTAATCCTTTTTTTCTGTTATAGATTCTGAAAAAGAGCTTCTCTGGAACCAGATTTTGAACCTATCACATTGTTAGATTTCACACCATCTCACCTTGGAGTGTAGAGGAGAAGCAAAAGACATCATAACGATGAAGCTGCAGGTGCCGTCTGCCGTAGCTCCGGACACCTGGGGCCAGGCCGTCCCCTCCGCAGGGCACTCTGGGCCGGGTCATGGGGTACTGGACGGTCCCGTCAGCCAGCCAGCCTGCATTGCACCAGTTCAGGCCCTCCTTCCAGGACTGGAAGAGCTGGGAGAAGGTGGCCAGTGTGGAGGCCTGCTGCTCACAGGCCTGCTGGGCTGCCAGGAAGCTGAGGTGGTAGTGACCACGAGGGTGCTGGTAGGGAAACACCACACCTGTGTGGAGGAATTGATGAGAGGCCTTCAGTGTTACTCACTGGGACACTTTACCTCGTTATTGTTAATATAACACCTGTGTGTCTATGAAAAAATTTCTGCTGTGAAAAAAAGCGTTTACATTCATCAACATTCTACCACAAAAAATCTTCAGCATCACTTCATAATAGCTACTATTACAATAGTTTGATAGTTTTACGGGAAAAATAATATGTTTTACTTCATTGTTGGCTGTAACAGTTACCATTAATTGCCCAGGTCCTCTTTTATGTTTGTGTTTTTGCCCACTGTAAACCTAATTTTGCCTGGAGGGACAATAAAGAGATTGAAACAAATCTCTTTGTACAGAAGAATAGAATATATTAATCAAGTGCAAAGATTACAAGAAGCCTGTCTTCTTCTAAACATCTGCCTATCTTTAAAAAATGGACCTCTGAAGAGTATTGTTGGACTCTTATTGCCGCTTGAGAATGGAGAGCAGTGTATCAGTGTACATATACCCCGTAACTCCAAATAAACTGAAGTGCTCTTGTCCTCCAGTCCGTCCACGACCTCACAGTGGTAACGGCCTGTATCATTTAACATTAGGTTAGTCATCACAAGTGCGGCGTCTCCTGGGAAATCCTGTCTGATCTGCACACGACCCCTGACCAAGAGACATACTGTGAGTTAAAAGACAAACAAGATCATACAGTCCCTAATAAGAGAACAATATATAATCATTATTCATTTTTTTATCAACCTGAATTCCCCAAAACTTCGACTTCGAGAGCCGATAGCCACCAGCACGTCTGTCTCATGTCCCCCAGCTGCAGGCTGCCAGGACCACTTGACCCGGGGTTCCCTTGGTGAGGTCAACTCGGGCTCATACCAAAACCTGCATGGCAGCGTGACATTATCCCCTGTGGCTGCAAACACTGCAGGCTGAGCAGAGTCCACATGGAGCTTCACACCACTGAAGTGAACTATAGGAAATATAGACATTACATACAAGAATGGAGTTTAAAGGATGGACTGAAAGAACACATATAAAAACAATTTTGACAAAAATCATTTATTGATTGTGTGCATACTTTCTTTGTTTCCATTTCCTTTGCGAAAGTCATGGTAGAAGAAGTTGGGGATTGAAAGAGCCAGCTGAACACCCAACAACAGCAGGATTTGGATGCAACAGATCATCATCCTGTCTGTGGGGACAGGAGGAACACACACATCCTGATATTAGTGGTCTCTGTGCCACCCTAAAGCCTGCAGAGAGGAATCTGGCTTGGCTTGTAAGTCCCTTAAAGCACAGTGGAATAATTATGCTTGCATTGTTTTTGCTAGAGTTTTCCGTTGACACACAGACTTCTGTATTTTTGACTTTGAATGCTTCTACAGGAGATTGTCAGTAGAGGGCAGCACAACACCTTGTTAGTGAGCTCTGACTATTTTCTATGAAAATGTAATTTGGCGAATTCGACCACTTTTGTGCACTGTAGTCAATACAAATAATGCGTCTGCATTGTGGCACCACAATATACTGCTTCTGATAACTGATTTATATGACATCAGAGTAAATAAATTACATAGTTTTAAAGGTCTGTTTGAAGGCTACAACATTTAAGTTAAGGGCATTTGACTGATGAAATGGAAAAAAATCCTTTATTTAGATTTGAATAGCTTTGAGTTATGTAACCAAGTGGTTCCAAATCACTACAAAATGACACACTGAACAAATAGGACACATCTCTTTTGTCGAATCTGGTGTCCCCAGGTCACATGTCATGGAAGGTATTAAAAAAAAGATGAAACTTTTCAGGAAATAAATGCTGAAATGTCCATACTAATATATTTGTATAGAAAAGAAGGTGGACTATAAACCCAAATCCAATTTTTTTTCAAAAGAGATGTGTCTCATTTGTCCTCTGTAATAATACCTTGTGTGGAGTTGGAGTCACTGGGCCACATGATATGAAATATATCAGAAAAGATAGTTATATAAACAGAAGCTGGATTAAAATCCAATACAATTGTTGTGTCAAGTGTATAATAAAATGCTGAACTGATTTGGAGTCACTTGGTCACGTGACGAAGCTATTGAAAGAAAATCGAGACTTTTAAATAACAAGTAACAACTTGAATATAAAATAGAAGGTGGACTAAAATCCAGCATACAAAAACGTTTCATTATGCTTTTTCATTAAGCACAACTCTCATCGAAATGAGCTAGCAAGCACAGAAGTATTGCAAGCAACATTGATTTGTTGTAATTAAAACGGTAATTTATGAATGGTCTCGGGTGTGATCGCGCCTGACTGCTAACAGTCAACCTCACGGCGGTCATAATAATAATCTGTATCTTTTGTTGTATAGGCTAATGAAGCTTATTAAACAAATTAAGAACTCTCATTAGGAGCCTAACGATTACGTAGCCTATGTTTGACACACAGTCGTTTTGTTTATTTTGATTTATCCTCACTTACCTTAAAGAACCCAAGCACCTTGATATTTTGCTTGCGAGGTGTCAATCCTTGTCGAAAGGAAAGCTTTGATACTGTGGCACAAAAGTCAGAAGTCTGCTGCTGGGAACAAGTGAGTTTCTCCAAGAGGTCGCAGAAGGTCTGATGCGCCAAATGGGTTTGTGGTCAACGAACAAAAGGCATAAATTAGCTTCTTCTAGTTTCTGTCGAATACAAATATTGTGCAGGTTTAGTGAGTTAATGATAAGAGTGTTCAGTGTTCCAACTGAGACGTAGGGCTGTAATGCTCTGTCGCTATCAGGCTGTAGGACTGGGAACTTACCTGTGTGCGTTTCTCCAACCTGTGAGTGAGGGAGGACAGGATGTCAGGTATGGCTATAGAGAACTCCCCACCCATCAGTGTTTTAAATGTATTGTTTTTCGACTGATGTCAAATAGGAACAAATGTTGCTTTTTCATTATATTTAGCAATCTAAAATGTATTGTACAAAATGGACTTACTATTACATTTTCCAAACTTGTTTGCAAAAATAGCTACATTCAAATATTTAAGAAGGAAATGATTTAACTGAAAAATGTTGATCGATTTCCAATTTCAAACATAATCTTGTTCTACCAAACCATTCAGTTTTTAGGGCGACAGTTATTATCAAAAGTTATAACATTTTATACTACAAAACAGGTTAAGTGAACTACGTGATTGACTTTCCAGTATGAGTTATTTGTGTCCTGCTCCCACAAACACAAGTGGGAGTATCACTTTTGTTTTAATTATAGTAAACCCTCCTTAATAAATAGTCTCATGTTTTGCAGCTGTTTGTGTAGGAGTATCTTGGGAGAAAACTCCATTGCTTCCCATTTAAACCTTCTGAAAGCAGATGTCTAGAGAGGGTCCCTTTATCAGCCCAGCTGTTGGCTGACTTTTTTTGACCTCGAAGCACTGTGATCTTTTATAGGAAACCCTGCTATGTTACATAAATACACTCCCACGCATATAAGGAATGGCATACACAGTGTGGACAGATGTGTTTGAAATGCTCCGTCTTCCACCTCATTTATATCATAGACTTTGCCAGGGGCCAAACATACCAGGGCTGTGAGATTAGCAGGGAGACGAGTGTCTAAGGGTGTAATTACTCTAGTAGACAGCAGGCAAAAGCCCAGTAGTCCAAAATGGAGAAGACTCACAACAGCTTAGTGTGGTGCAAGAAAGCAGGATGCGACTGATGGCATATTATTTCCTCAAAATGTTTGCTTTTTGATTCTGCTTAAATAATAAAATATCCTGTATCTTCCTTTCATGTTAGCTTTGGGCAATGATTGGACACAAAATATGTCTTTTTGATGATATCAACATCTGAACAATGCAGAGAAGCTTCCTAAATGCTCCTTTGTGTCCTCTCTGGCCTCACTGACCAGTCTGTTCATGCAGAAATCTGCCACTTACACCCCCTCTGACATTGTCAGACCAAGCAGGACTGTTATAACAAGCAGTTGGAAATAAAGGCTTATGTAACCGGTGACATTCAAGATATCAGCTGCTTGACAAAGAAATGTTGTGTGCAAAACAATTATTTTTATTTAATACATGGTATCATTTAAAGACCAACAATGAATAATATTAATAAAAAAAGAATGTAAAACAATGTATATTTTCTATACAAATGTCTACATATTTCACAATGTTGTAAACATGATTCAATTAGAATGAAATGGCTAAAATGTGAAAAAAATGATGTTGCATGATGGACAGATTGGGGTACTGAAGATCGATATTTAAAAAAGGTTTTTACTATCTCTTCCAGGATAGTTGAAAATGCCATATATACTCTATATTGCACAGGCCCTGCGTCATTATAGTCGCTATCGTGCTACAAAGTCGGCCAAAGTGAGATGCAGTGGGTGTGCTTGTGAGGATGTTTGTTATCGGCCCTCTGCAGAATGTTAAAACTAAAATGTAGTGTTGGACAGCAAAGGAAGGACAGAGCAATTAGTAAAAGTTGTACTCAGCTGGATGAGGTGAAGAGCCCTATTATCATGTCTACAGGCTTAAAAGAACCTAAAATGCATTAGAATTATTAGAGAAAACAAATAATAAACACTAATAGCTCATTTAGTTATTATCCAAAGCTATTACAATTGAATCAGTTGTACTTTGTAGACGTTTCTCAGTGAGCAATGTCAAACAATGTTATTAAATAAAACATAAAAAGGTCACTAGTCAAAAAGTGCTACAAGTGTTACAGTCCAGGATCGTTGTTCAGAGAAGCCCAAGGGAGTACAGGACAAATGATTGTGTTTGAGATCCATTCCTCTTATTCCTCAGCACTGTTACATTATAAGTGAGTTTTTAATCATCGCAGCCGAGCAGCTCCACCCGCAGAGTGATGCGCTCATGCCACTCCCAGGGGACCACGCGCACGTATCGGGCGTAGAACGGAGGCTCGAAAAGATTCTTCTTGTGGGTGTTGTTGTCGAAGTTGCCTTGGAAAAGCTGCAAAGGAATGACAAGTAAAACAAAATAATTATTTATTGTGTGGATGTTATTGCAAAGCATGTTCTGTTAAATGTGACAATTCTGAAAAAGAGAAAATAAGTTAATAAGGATAGAGGGTGTCGTTTTTCTCATTCTGTACAATCTGTGCTGTTGTATTTGCTGTAAAGTGTCTCTGCTGTAGGCTATTTTTATTATATGTACAGCACTTTGGCTCGACCAAAAATTGTTTATAAATGTGCTATATAAATAAAACTTGATTTGATTTGAAATCCAATGGAATGGATTGTAAACCATACTGCAACCTTACGACCGAAAAAAAGAAAAGAAAGTTGGATCATCTTGGTCCTGCTATTGCAGCTAAAAATATTCTAGTCCTCCCAAAAAAAGAAGCTATGGTTCTACTCGTTCAGCAAAAAGATATGTTTGTATAAAGAGAAAGAGAGGACAGAAGGGAGGCTGACATATTGGACTTATTTAACACAAACTGTAAGGTTTGTGTATGACTTTAAGAGATATAGCTTATGACAGAAACTCTTCAGAAGGAGATATTTCAATGATTAAACAATCTAAGAATCTTTTCAAAAAATATCTGCATTGACTAATTTACAAAGACATGCATACAGTATCCTGTATCAAGTCAATACATTTGAGGGGTTCACCTTATCAGAGTCAGTTTTCTCCTCCTTCACTGTACTCCAAAACTCTCCATCGTTACTGTAAGCTACTTTAAACATTGACACAAACTGCACCACTCCAAAGTCCTTTGCCCCCTGAGTGATGATGCCTGTGAGACGCGATGTCTTCTCCAGATCGACCTGGTGAGGGAACAAGGACAACTGTTATACTACTTGCTTTAAAGCACACCCTTAACCAATAATCGCATTTTACTGCTGAGGTTTTCCCTTACCTGGATCCACTCTGAGCGGTTGTTGTGTGCAGGAGACCAGGCGTTGGTCTTTCCCTGCTTATCAAGTCGGGCAAACTGAGGGTGCCAAGTGAAGGTATCGATGCCCCACGTGCGGTAAGAGCTGGAGGCCGTTAGCTGCCCGTCTGAGATGAGGCGGGACTTCATTCCCAGGGGCTCTGAGCAACCTACCGTGTTTGAATGAACTGTGAATCAAAAGCAGACGGAAAGACGGAGGGAGTGGAAACCAAAGCGACAGAAAGGGAAAGAGGAAAGAAAAAAAGATGAATATACCCATAGAAATTAAGTTCACCGTTTAAATACAATTTGAAAAATTCAGGAGAATAAGACTGAAATCATTTTATACACCCGCGAATCACCAAGAAGAAGGAATAGAATGTGGCGAAGAAAGTAGAAGAATGCAAGCACACTGTGTACAAACACTCACAATGTTTCTCTGTAAATGTTTTACCTGTTATGTTCAAAGAAGGACAAAATAATGGAGGTAGAGAAAACAGAAATGTGTTTTTCTCTCTCTATGCAAGCCAACTTGGCATTGCTGCTTTGATTGTTGCGCAGTGAGGTTTACCCAGAAAATACTGTCTGTCATCATTTTCTTTGCTATAACCACAGCAAGAACATAAAGACAGTCAAACAAGAGGCAGTTTAGGAAAAGCTAAACAATAGCCTTTCCTCACTTCAGGGATTTATACATCTTTAAGTTCACAGAGGCCAGACATGGGTTGAACTTACGGTCATCCATCCGCTCTTTTTCTTTAACATCACATTAGTTTTTTCCATCTCCATTGTTATCTGCCAAGTTTTTCATATGCTGTGTTGCATTAGAATTGTAAAGGGCATGTTTCTGTGTGTTTACCATTGAGTTCACAGCCCACCAGCTCCATGCGCAGCGTGCAGGCCCTGCGGCACACCACAGGGATGATGCGGATGTACTGGGCTACGATAGGAGGTTCAAAGAGGTTGGTCTTTGTGCTGTCGTTATCTGCATTGCCAATGAATACCTATGGCACACACAGACACAGAAAATAGCCAAGTTAGCTAAAGGGACGTTTTCAGCTGGTAAACATTGTAAATAACCCGTGTATCACAAGAGAAGGCCTCTAACCTTGTCCCTCCGTTGGCCATCAGCTCTGTGAGTAATATAAAGGTTCCCATCAAAGCTGCTTGCCACCTTGAAGGCCTTGATGTACTCTGACGTGCCCATGCGACTGGCTCCCTGAGTGATGATGCCCGTCAGACGCATCTTCTTCTGCATATCGATCTGTTGCAAACAAGTTAACAAGTCAGCTGCACAGCTTTCATTCACAAGCCTCATGTTTTAAAGTGTTCACTCGTCCCACCTCGATCCAGGGGTTCCTGTCATGGGCGGCTGACGTCCAGGCGTTGACGATGCCTTGGTTGTTGAGTCGAGCCAGATCCGGGCCCCATCGCTGAAGACCCATAATGCCGTAGTGCACAGAGGAGGCTGAAATCTGGGACTCCACGATTGATCCACCCTCCATCCCGAGTAAAGAAGTGCAACCTGGTACAGAGCCATTCAAATATTATCAAGGCTGTAATAGTTACTACAACCACTCTATAGTTTAAATCACATTTAATTAATTAACAGTGCAACCTCTTTGTTGACTGCGATTGTGGTGCTAACAAACGTCAGGTGCATTATTTGGTATTTTACATTTAAAAACATCAACAACAACAAAATTAAGTTATAATACATACAACTCACAAATGGTATTTTTTTCAATTTTGGCAAATCAGTGAAAATCTGTTGTTTTTGAAAAGGCTTAAAACGTTTTTCTAAGGGCAAGCAAGCGACATGAGGATACAGGTATCTGATAAAGGACTTTAAAACGATGTGTAGTTTTTGAACATACGTA